GTTCTCGAACTCCACTGTTAGCCGCGGCTCCGAAAACAGCTCTAGACACTTCGGTTGCATACCTAGGCGAGCCTGCGCTGTCTTAACCCCCTTCGCCACCTCCTTCTTGGCCTTCCTGCTCGTGATATCCGTCACTCCCACGGTCCAGGGCGCCTCCGACTCCTCCTCGTCGTCGCTGGCCTCAGGGCCCCGACCCGGCCCTACCGAAAACCAGCCGTCGCTGCCTCCACAAACACATCCAGCTCGGTCGCCTCCGACGTTGCCATCACATCAACTGCTGCCGTCTGAATATCCCTGCTCTCGCCGTTCTTCATCTCGCAGAGATTCAGCTGGTAGTGTCCACTGGCGGCGACCTTCAGCGGCGCCGCGACGTTGATCCCGGCAAAGCGGACCTCGCCCCGCCCCATGTCCAGGATGGCGCCGAGAGCTTTGAGCATCGGCTTGCTGACCAGCAAGGGAGTCCAGCCTGGCACCACGCACAGCCGAAGGAGTAACATCCTTCCGCCAACGCGGCACTGCATCTCAACCGAGTAGATCGACGACAGCGTCTCCCGATTTCCGAACTTGAACGTCGTGGCCTCTCAGTACTTTCACCTCCAATCCTGCCTTCGTCATCTCCTGCTTGTGCTGCGACAAGGTCTCCTCGCCATTCACCCCTTTACCGCGTCCAGTGTCCACTACGCCGTTTCCCGGCTCGTGAGCTGTCGTGTTCAGTACCTCCGGATGCTCCAAGTCGCCGTCCTGACCACTGAGGCCCCAGTACTTCCATCTCGTCCTCGGAGTTCTCCTCGTCGGACTGGTCGCCCTGGTGGCTCCGCAGCTCCATCTGCGCGCACTCGAAGCTTTCGTCGTCGTCCTCAACAGTGTACAACACGTTGACGCCCTTCTCCTTGCCCTTGCCTTTGCCGTCACGGGGGGGTGGTCGTCGCTGTCTCTTCGGCTTCTAGCAGTCCCTGCTGAAGTGTCCGACCTCGTCGCAGTTGTAGCATCGCAACCGCTTCGCCATGTTCTTGATGCCCGGCTTCTTGGGTCCGAAACCGCGCGCCAGCTGCTCCTTGGATATATTGTTGCGCTGGTCTCGCCACGTCACCATAATCTCGATGGCCTCGCTCTCGCCCAGGATGTCGTTCTCATCCTCGTCCTCATGAAGGCCTGTCATCAGCGCCTCGATGTCAAGGTGGCTATCTTCCTCGTCGTCGACCACGCGCGCGCGGCACGTCCTCCGCTGCGGGCCGAAGTCGGTCGCGCGTTGGGGAAGGTCGTCCTCAGCGCCGATGCTACGCCCCGCCCCTTGTACGATCTTGCTGACGCCGCAAGCGCCACTGCCAGACACTGCGGTGGAAGACGCGCCCCCAGCAGCAGCAAGTAGCCTCGGGCCATGCCTGGCAGCACAACACCCTCGGCTTCGCCCTTGGCGAATGTCGCCTGGGCCCTGCCGCGGCGCGCCGCCATCGCCTCGTTCTTCACCAGCTTCAGCGAGAACACCTCCTGGAGCGCCTCGCCAAGCCTGTCGCGCGCCGCGACGTCCGGGAGCGCGCGCCCAGCGTGTCGAACAGCACCTGCTCGCCACCCCCCGCCCCCAGGTCGCCCGCGCCGATGATCTCCATCGCGCGCGCCGCCGCGTCGTCCAGCAGCGTGAACAGCGTCGGCCCCATGGCCGTCGGCGGTGCCCCCTGGGCCCGCTGCGCGATGATGCGCGCGCGAGCCCACATCTTCCATGCACGATAGTCGCGACATGCGTCGGCTCCGTTGCCGCCAAATCTCCCGACGCCGCCTGTCTGCCCGGGCAGCCGTGTTCATCTGGTTGCGCACCGCCGGCGCTCGCCCGAGTGCCCCCCTGCGGCAGCGCCTGCTATCGCGCGGCCCGCTCCGCTCTACCAATGCAGATGGCTTCGAGAGCGGGGCCCCCGCCCCACCTTTCCTCGCCCGAGGCAAGCCAAAATGCTGCAGCACAGACTCAACACGCACAGATCACATCTAGGCCCTGCTGGGCACGCGTCTACACAATCACTACGATTAGCCCCTCCCCCTCCCCCCCCCCCCCCCCCCCCCCCTGGACCTGGACAGGGGGTCCCGCGAATCGTCGGAGCGTCCAAAACGGCCTCGTCGAGGAAGCCAAACTCGTTGGTTCCACTGGCGCGTTGGCCCCGCGCTGGCCTCTGGGGGGGAGGGGGGGGGGGGTCATTAATGCCCCCCTCTTGTTTGACCGACCCCCTGCAATATGGCCCCGAGAATCGCCCAGGAGGCCCCGAGAGGTCCAAATATGGCCCCGATATGGCCCCAAGAAGCGCCCAAGAGGCCACCAGGGGGCACCAAAGAAGACCCCAAGCGGCCCCGAGAAGCCCCCCCGAGGCACCCAAGACCCCGAAGAGCCCCCAGGATCGCCGAGAGACCCCCAAGACGTCCCAAGAGGCCACCAATAATCGCCCAAGAGATACCCCAAGAGGCTCCGAGGGGAATACAAAAGACCTTTGGCCAGTGTGTGTTGCCCTCCTCCTCCTCCTCCTCCTGTTCCTCCTTCCTCGTCCTACTGGTTATGTTATTTATCCTCCTCCCCCGCCTCCCTCCTCCTCCTCCTCCTCCTCCTCCTATTCATCCTCGTTCGCCCCGCCCCCTCATCCATCCATCCATCCATCCATCCACGTCCTTCTCCTCCTCGCTCCTTTGCGCGGTTCCGTCGCCCCCCTCTTTAATGCCGCACCCCAATGTTCCCAAAACCGGTGGCGTTGGAAATCCCAGTGGCGACCAGCAAGCAAGCGCAGCCAAAATGGCGCGGCGGCGCGACCATAAACACGCAGAGGACGATCGCTCGGTGCGAGTCAGTCAAACAGCACCGTCAAATACGAACTAGACCGACAGGCACACCCAGACGACATCCGCGATGTAGGCGACACAAATGCCAAAACATCGTGTCGGCGCAAGAGTAAAGAGGGGCACCCTCATCACTGACAAGACTGCAAGGGCAGTAAAACCTGTAACACTTGTCGAAAGCGAAGTCCATGCAAGGGAACGTCGGCCATCGATCGTACAGAGCCACACTTGCCGAACCCGAGGTCTGGAACCTCCCGGTCATCAGTAGGGCCAGGGGCAGGCCAGGGGGCACCTGACCTCAGGTAATGCGACGCAGCACCGCTCCCTGCGTGAATCCTTGCATGAAATCCACACCACCTGAACGCCATCAGGAAGCAGTATGGGGCAGCAAACCCCAGCCGCCATGGAAGAAATCTGTGAAACAGAAGGGAGGGCACCCCTGTGCAACGGCAAACCGCTGCGGCATAAAGATGCAGGAAGAGAGGAGGGGAAGCGCACGCCAGGCCCAGTAGGCACTCCGGCGCGGCAGCTAACCGCTGCAGCATCACTGGCGGGGATACTTTTTTGTCGGCTACCGCGGCGAGCGCGCCAGCGGAGAGTCGAGTCAGAGCGGGCCGCGCAGAGACGAATTAAACCTAAAGCGGTGGGGCGGGGCCTCACGCGGCACCTCGGCGGCCAGGCCGGCGAGTGGGGGGGTCGGCACGGCCGCCGGGAAGCTGCGCTGCCAGGGGCTGCACGCATGCAACGAAATGCAGAGCGGATGACTGCCAGGGGGGGGCCGGCTGCCAGGGTCTGCAAACGGCTGAATTGGATGCAAGAAGAGGGCACCCTAAGGACTGCGAAGTACCAGGGTGGCCGGAGCCAGGTGGGAAGAAGCCTCCACGAGGCAAATTGCGCGCGTGAGCTGCTCAGCCAAAGCTGAGGCGCAGCCAAAATGGCGCGCGGGAACGCCGCGGTGTGACCAGGGGAGAGCACCTCAAGGGGCCCGAGATGCCAGCCAAGGTCAGACGGGCGCGGGTGGTGGCGCAACTGAAGTCGCACACCCATGCCCGATAAGGGGGGAACAGTCCGCGCTCGGCCAACCGGGGCAGGCGACTGGCGCGAACCGAACATAGGCACGCAGGACGGCTGACCAGCACAAGGCGACCCTCGCGCGTGCCGACGCATGGGCAGCGCGCCCAGGAACGCGCGCTGCAAAGACGACCACGGGCGGCAGAAAGGGAAAAGCCAACGCAACTGTCGTGGTCGCGGCGGCGCGGTGGAGCCACGGAGGAAAACTCAGGCTGAACCGCGAGCACCAGAAGCCCCCACCCTCGATGGGGAGAAGAACGGCGCATCGCGCGGCAGGAAGAAGCCGAAGCCGGGGGGGGGCCCGCATCGACGGTAGAAGAACCGGGAGACCAGCCGCGGGGGGGCCACCCCGTCGCGGGGGGGAACCCGGGGGCGCGGCGGGTTGACGCGCCGAGGGTGAAAACGACTACAGCGGGCCGGAGGCCGGCGGCGGACTGCTTCTGGACCACAGCCCCAGCGGCGGTCCACGAGTCAGCATTGTCAGCCGGCCGCTGCCCGAGCCCCAAGGGCGGGGGGCAGCGGGGGCCGGGCACGGCACCAGGGGTAGCTGCACTGTCTGCAAGTCCCGCAGCGAACGCCGGGCCCAAACGCGGCGCGCTGCGTCTAGCGCGAAACCAAGCGGGGGCCAGCGGCGCGGGCCCCCGCGCCAGACAACCACCGCCTGGCGATGCCTGCGGTCAATACCAGGGGTGGCTGATGGCCACTGGTTGCCAAGTGATCAAACACTGAGAGGACTGCAGTGGCCAGGGCCAACCCGGTCAAACGGGCCCTGTTCCCCTTGCGCGACGAATAGACAATGCTGCGTTGTCTGCTGCTGTCGGGCGCCGTTGCGGGCGCCGCAGTGGGCCGCGCGACGGGGGGCGGCCCGAGAAAGGGGGAAGGGGCAAGAGACATCTCGACATCCCATTGGCCTGACGGGAGCCGCACTTCAGCGCCACATGCGGGAACGCTTGTCCCCTCGCCCGTCGCTGCCGTCGTCGACACCTCGCTTGCCTCCAGCCCGCCAGTCGTCGCCATCCCAAGCTTGCGACCAGGGCGAGGAGTCCCAGCCCCAGGATTGCCGGGAGCTGGTCGCATGCCCCTTGGGCGGGGGGGCGCCTCTGCCCTGGCCCCCTGACCGCTTGTTGCGCTCGCGGCCCCAGTTGACCTGGAGCTCGCGCCGACGGTCCATTTCGTGGGCGTCGTGCCCGCAGCGCCTCCAGGCGTCCAGGAAGTTGCGGCGGGTGGACACGGGGTTCCGAGCGGGGTCGCTCTTCGGGCCGTTGGCCCCAGCAGGGTGCTTGCGGGCGCAGGCGTGCCAGACGCTGCTGAAAACTCCTCCCAGGGTCTTCTGGAGACGGGAGATCTTGGCAGCTGGTGCCTCTCCTGCCCCATCGAGGTCGACGTTGCCCATCAACTCCTTGCACGCGCGGCCGCCGTCGAATGGGTCGACCAACGGCCGAGTCGCGTCGCCATGGGCAAACGATCGGCTGGCGCTGCGGCCGGTGAGCCGCTGCTCCCCGGCGCGCGAGCAGGGGGGGGGCTTGCCTGTGCCAGGGGTCGTGTCTCACCCTGGGCGGCGGACTGGCGCTAGCCTTGCCCGTTGCTCGGCCGCGCTCGGGTCGGCTCGAAAAGTGCGCGCCCTGCCCGAACACCCCCGGGGGATCGTCGGGAGGGCTCCCGCTGGTTGTTTCGCCTGTCGACTCGGGCGAGGGCAGGCTGTCTTCGGGCTCCACCGAGTTGTTCGCTGCCCCGCCCGGGGGCGGCGAGGCGGAGGGGAGGGGCGACGCTGCCCCCCCCCCCCCCTCGTCCTCATCGTAGTCGATCCCGCCGATGTCCACCTTCACGGAGGGCGCAGGGCTCGTTGGGGAGCAGGGCCGCCCCTCCTCGGGGGAGGCCTCTGTCACCTCGCGTCCTGGCGTCGGGGGGCCGCGATCTGTCCGCGGAGCAGGAGGTCCGCCCTCCTTGCTGGCCACGCCGCTGGTTGGGGCACCGGTGGCCGTGGTGGCCTCGCCCGCCGCGGTCGCTGCCCCCTTTGGTTTCGGCTGTAGCCAAGCCATCGTGGTTCCCCTGGGGGGGTCGCACGAGCCTCGTCCGCGTAGGCAGCCGAGGGGTCCTGATCTGCCAGGGTGGCGATGGAGGCGGCTGCGAGGGCACCTGAGTCCAGGCTTGCGATGAAGCTGGCGAGGACAGCGAGGTCGTGGCGGAAGGGGCTCGGCCCCCTGCTGGATGCCACGCTTTGGCGATGGGCTGCCCAGGCGTCCTTCTGCCTGGGGCTGCGCAGCAGGTGCCCTACCACCCTGGCCGCGGCCCAACTCTTGCCATCCCAGGTGGTGTCTTCAGGGAGGCCGCTCTCTGGGACCTCCGAACCGTAAACCTTGTTCAGAAAGGGGGCCAGCTGGCGCGCGTGGTCCAGCGCGGGGTGGTAGCCCCGCAGGAAAGCAACCAGGGTATGGTGGGCCTCCTTCAGTTTGTTGCGACGTTCGTGCGTGGGCTCGCCCCCCTCGTCGTAGGCAAACGCTGAGACGGCCCTGCGGCTCAGCCTTGGGGCAGCTGGCGGGGGCAGGTCTGGGGGGAGGGCCAGGACCTCAGGGACCGTGCGCCTGCGCGGGGCGCTCTGCGACCTGCCGCCGCTGCTCCCTCCCCCTCCCGACGGGGGGCCCTATGGGAAGTTGCTGCGGGCGTAGGGGTCGTGCGCGTTCGCGTCGGCTGCAGCAGGTGTGAGGAGGGCGGCCAGGTCTGGGGCGGCGTCGCTGGTGTCCGTCAGTGCTGTGTGGCGCTGGCGGGCTGTCGGCTGTCGTGGGAGGATGTCCCAGGAGTCGCGATCCATGATGTGGTCCAGGGTTGCTGGAGCAACGTTCAAGATGTAGACCAGGCGTCTCCGGCAACACCAAGTGGCGTTCCACTTGCGCTGGACCCAAGAGAGTGGCCACTGGTCCCAACTGGGGAGGCCTGTTTGCCCGTGACCCGCTGCCTCGGCCTCGGCCTTCCAGATAAAACAACCGAGCGCTGGCGAGTCCACCTTCCACGCCAGTAGCGGCGGCCCTGCGGGAGGGCAGGTGTCGCACTTGGCGGAATGGAGCCTGTCTTGTGGGCGTCGCCCCCGAACTTTCCGTCCGAAATCCTCTCTGCTGGAAGCGTAGTGTTGGCGAGCTGTGGACGGTACGGTCCGGACGGGGTCATGAGGAGGTCGCACAGTTGCCTGATTTCCCCGGCGGTGGGGTCGCGCGAAGCGTCTAGAATTTACTATTTCGTTGGTTCCCAGGGGGGGGACTGGTACCAAGGCGCCCAAGAGCGAAGGGTGACGTAAACAACTCGACACCAAGGCTCCCAAGAGCGAGCGGCAACGCAACAATCTCCACTGGCATCGTCAGAACAACAATCACCACCACCTTATCACCCGCAGGGTGGTAGTATAGGTATACAAATGTATATATACATATGTGACTATACCTATACGACCACCCTTTCGGGTGACAAGGAGGTTGTGGGAGGGGGAGGGGGGGGAACCAACATCTGACTCAATCGATCTTACTATCGATCTCACTCAACGGAACACCACGGGACACCACGGGACACCACGGGACACTTGTCGATCTCACTATCGATCTCACTATCGATCTCACTGTTTGGGACAAAACGGGACACCTCGGGACACCTCGGGGCACCACAGAACACCGCGGGACACCTCTCGATCTCACTAGCGGTCTCACTGTCGATCTCACTATCGATCCCACTCAACGGGACACCATAGGACACCACGGGACACCACGGCACACCTCGGAGCACCACATGGATCTCAGTATCGATATCACTGTCGATCTAACTATCGATCTCACTATCGATCTCACTCGACGGGACACCTCGGGACAACTGTCGATCTCACCATCGATCTCACTATCGATCTCACTCAACGGGACACCATAGGACACCACGGGACACCTCGGGGCACCACATCGATCTCAGTATCCATCTCACTATCGATCTCACTATCGATCTCACTCGACGGGACACCATAGAACCACGGGACACCACGGGACACCTGTCGATCTCACTATCGATCTCACTGTTTTGGGACGCCACGGGATACCTCGGGGCACCACATCGATCTCAGTATCGATCTCACTATCGATCTAACTATCGATCTCAATATCGATCTCACTATCGATCTCACTTTTTGGGACACCACGGGACACCACGGGACACCACGGGACACCACAGGACACCACGGGACACCGCGCGACACCGCGAGCCACCGCCGGACAGACGGACGGACGGGCGGGGGGAGAGAATCATTTGTCTTGACTTCGCCCTAGCAATGGCGGACACCACGGGACACCACGGGACACCACGGGACACCGCGGGACACCGCGGGACACCGCGGGTCACCGCCGGACGTGCGGGCGGGGGAGAGTCATTTGTCTTGACTTCGCCCTAGCAACGGCAGGTTCATTCCTCTCGCGCGCCCACGCAGCCTCGCCTCGCCCGCACGCAAGACACGAACGAAACGAAACGATTTCCCGGTTGGGGGTCTCCGTTCCACTGCGATCTCACCCCCCAACCTCTAATACCAGAACCGTCGCGCGAGCTTCGCGCGCGCTCAAGTTCTAGCTAGGCTTGATGGGCTAACTCACGGAACATCATTGTGGTCGCTTCTTGCATCCAGGGACTCTCTTGGAGGCCCTGCGCAAGCCTCGGAACCGTCTAGGCGGGAAGCTGCGGAAACGCGGAAATCCGTAATTCCAGTTCGGTATTCAACGATGATGGGCCCTCAAAGGCTTCCTGGTTTCCTTTCTGGGAGCTGAGGGAGCCTCAAGTGTGATCTGTTGTGCAAGAGTTGACAGGGGGCGAACTTGAAAAACAAGATGTGGGATCTCGTTTTTCAAATTGCCGTGCCTGGGCTGTGGATTCAAATTTTGCTGGATGCAGGCCACGGTCTGTTGGGATGCCTCTCGGGGTGTTCGAGCAAGTACAAGCAAGGGGTGCGTTTGAACAAAAAAGGAAGTATGTCATTTCAACTCATGGGATCATGGGATCTCGATTTCTACGGTGGTTTCAGGGACAGCCAAAAGGACGCGAAGACGATCCAAGAAAGTGCAAAGACAGGTCAGAGAGTTCAACAACACTCCCGAAACATCTGCGCATGTGACCCCGAAGTCTTGATGGGGCTTGGGGAAAAGGATAGGGAGTAGGAGTCCCAGCTTGAAAAAGGGAACCTCTGGAATTCCTTTTTTCAAATTCCTGTGTTTGAGCGTTGGAAGCGGGTAAGCGTGAGAAGGCGGAAAACGTCGATACAAAACATTGGAAACCAACGATGTTAGCCTCTTTGGGCTCTCTCGGGACGGCTCTCGAAGCTCTCTTGGGATGTTTTGGGGGCCTCGCCGACTTTTGTTTGGGGGCCTTCGCAAGGCGCATACTATCTGAAAAAAAACTCAGATTGCGAAGCCGTATGTCTTTTCGAAGATATTCGAAACACTCGAGTTTCAAACCCGAAACGGGAACGGTTGTTGAAGGATTTCGGCATGCGCACGCGACGACGCGCGCGTGCACTATTGCAAAGGACTCTTGGAAAAAAGTTTGGTAAACGCGTGCGCGCGGAGCATGTTTCCCGAAAGTGATGGCGGGGGGGCGATAACGGACCGCCTGGGATCGTACGAAAGCGTATCTCGGATGGACGACGGGGCAGAACCATATATACATTGCAATACAAAACGGCGGGCCGCTAAAATCGGTGAGGCGGGAAGATAGATCCGAATACTCACTTGGAACGGAAAGTCGACGTGGTGCGATCCATGCGGAGCAAGCTGAGTGGTGCATTCTATGCTGCGCAATTGATCTATACAAACGAACTGACAAAAGCCATGCCCTTGCAAACATCCCACCCACCCACCCGCAACTTGGTTTTGCAAAACCATGCGGCGGCGATTGCGCTAAGTGCTTAGCGTTGGTTGGTGCATCGCTGTGGCCGCACGAGCCGCTCGCACGCTCGCGCGCACAGCGGCCAGCTGGTTTGGCGCGACCGACAGGGCCGCGGTGGCACTTACCGCTGGGCACTTCCCAGCGGGCACTCCAGTGCGAGTCGGTAACTTGGGCGGGCGCGGTATCATGGCGACGCCCACAATGGTAGACACGACTATGAGAGTAGCGATGATGGTGACGATGGTGGCGATGACGACGGTAAGGCCGATGACGGCGCCGGTGTTGATCACGCCCGCCGATAAAGATGACGATGTCCTCGCATCGGCGATAAGTTGTTTGGAGGAATTCGACATGCGCAAGCAATCTATGTGGCAATCTACGTTGTACAGTCTAGGCGGCGACGGGGCGGCGACGGGGCGGCGACGGGGCGGCGACGGGGCGGAGACGGGGCGGTGACGAGGCGGCGACGGCGAACACGGAGCCGCCAAACCGCCACTCAGACCCAGACGCCGGGCGGCGACGAAGAGGCGACTGGGCGGCGACGGCGACCACGGAGCCACCAGACCGCCACTCACACCCAGACGTCAAGCGGCGACGGGGCGGCCACGAGGCAGCGACGGCGACCACGGAGCCGCTAGACTGCCACTCAGACCCACACGCCAAGCGGCGACAAGGCGGCGACGGGGCGGCGACGGCGACCACGGAACCGCCAGACCGCCACCCACCAAGACGACGGGCGGCGACGGGGCGGCGACGGCGACCACGGAACCGCCAGACCGCCACCCAGGCCCAGACGACGGGCGGCGACTAGGCGGCGACGGGGCGCACGGAGCCGCCAGACCGCCACCCAGGCCCAGTTTCTTAGAAAACAAATAGAAAGTACCCTAAGTGTAAGGACTGTTTCGGAAATGAAAGGAGAGGGAAAGATGGAACCTGACAGCACCGACAAGCAACTGCGCGATGGCGGCCGCGAAGAAAACTAGAGGGAGATGGCATCCTGTTCCCCGCCCCGTCCTCCCGCCACTCCTGCTGGAAGAAAGAAACATCCTGCGAGATCGGCACCCGACGTCGGAGGAAAATGGAAACGGCGGACGACAAATCTCACGAAAACCCGCGAACCGACCCGACGCTTTGGACCTCGGAAAAAAGGTACGGAAAACGGGGATACGATGCCCAACAGCAAATGCTGTCCACAACCAACAGCGGCTGCTGTCGGACAGGCGCCTGTCTGTCGCAAACGAACGACGCTCGCGGCGAGGCCGACAGCGAATGCTGCTTGAAATGAAAAGGAACTGTCGGTCTTTCGATCGTACCGACCGACGTCCGAGAACCACATCTCGACCGAAACTGGCTGGATCGAACCAGCCCGCGCGCCGAACCCCCGAGCCCGTGCCCGTCCGCGACCCGCCCCCGGGGGGCGGCCTGCTTCGGGTCGCGAAGGTCTCCGAAGGGATGGCCGCCGGTGAGCATGTAGAAGACAACAACACCAGCCTGGCAGGAAGAAGGCGGGCAGAGGAGACGCGAGGAGGAGGGAGGAGAAAGGGGGGAGAGGGCGAAGGGGAGTAGGGCGAGTAGGGCAATGACGGGGGGCGAGGCAAAGGGGAAGGAGGAGACGAAGGAAGGCGCGAAGGGTGTAAGAGAGGGGGGCGGCGGAGGGGGAGGAGGGCGGAGGAGAGTGGAGGGAGAGCAAGAGTGAGGAGGAACAGTGGCTGGGTGCGTCGTTCCTGCGACAAGAAGCACGCAGGCAAGACGGCACTGGCGCAAGACAACGCCAGTGAAAAGCGAGGGCGGGTGGCAAAGCCTGCCACGCGTCCACGGCGGGTCCGTCGATGTCCGGCGGCTCGGGCCCGTCGTCACTCGCCTCCCCGGCCCCGTGGCGCTACCGTCGGGAGGCGCTGATCAATCCTCCTCCTCCTCCTCCTCCTCCTCCTCCTCCTCCTCCTCCTCCCTCCTCCTCCTCCTTCCTCCTCCTCCTCCTCCTCCTCCTCCTCCTCCTCCTCGATCCTCCTCCTCCTCCTCCTCCTCCCCTCCTCCTCCTCCTCCTCCTCTCCTCCTCCCCCCCTCGATCATCCTCCGTCTCCTCCTCCTCCTCCTCCTCCATCTCATCCTCCTCGATCTTCATCCTCGGTTCTCGAGGCAAGAAGCAGCACCCCCCCCCCCCCCTCGCTCGCGCCTCCGCGCGGCGAGGGCCTTGGCGGCGGAGCCCTGCAGAGGCTGGAGGGCGCAGCCGCGGGCGAGCGCAGAGATCTCCGCGGCCCCGTGGCGTTCCCTCCCTCCATCCCCTCTCCTTGAAGATAACTCCCCCCTGTCGCACCCCAAGGCGTGTCGGCGGGACGCTTCGCCTGAGACTTCCTTACTCTCCATGATCCTGAGACTTGAAACCTGCAGCAGATGTAAGGATTGAGGGGGGGTCAAAGTGGGGCTCTCGCATTAGCGCCGCGCACATTCGTCTGAACAGTTTGCACCAGCTTCAACATTGAAGGCGAGTGGTTTTCAAGACGGGGCTCGCGGCAGCGCCACACACATTCGTCCTAACAGGTTGCAGCAGCGTCAAGGATGGAGGGTCCTTTTCCAAAATTGGGTTCCCACCACAATGCCGCGCACACGAAGGATTGAGGGCAGCTCGCTTCAGCGCCTCGCACAGTCGTCTTAAACATATGCAATGGGTTCGCGGGTGGATCGCGGATATTTGTCCGACATCTGATATCACCTGAAAGCCGCGCACATTCGTCCTTAATGTTTGCAAACTCTACTCGGATGGAAGGCGTGTCCTATTCAGTTTGGGGGTTCGCTTAAGATTCCCTTGAACCTGCACACAAAACACTTGAACATATGTAACAAAACACGGATGAAAGGCGCTTGTCTGCGATACGGGGCTCTCCTGACACGTCCTCGAGTTCATGACCAAACGTGTAAACTTGCGAAACAAACGCACACGGTGGCAGTCTTGGTTCAAAACGAGGCTTTCGCTGGACATCCCGGTAAACTATAGGATCATACCTTTTCGCATCGGCGCTGGAACCGACGCCACGACTCATCGAAAAGAGTTCAGGGAGCGCGATCTCGAAGCCACGACCCCTAGTTAATTCTGACAGTACGGCGTTCCCGAGGCCACCATCTCTAATCCATTACTGCTGAGGCAACCAACCATCCAGCCAGCAACAAACCCAAGTCAACGGCTGCCCTTAGCCAAACTGGCCAACCCCAGACGAACAACAACCAATAACGAACGATCAAGCGTGGCCACGCAAACAAAATCACGCTGGCCAGCGGCAAATGGCGGAGCTATTCAAACATACGGGGTGCACATGGCGATGCCGCACAAACGTATACGAAAACTCCCATAAGCCCGAATAGACGGAGCGATGTTGGCAGTGGTGCGCCATGGGTCAAGTTGGAGCGAACGTCAACCCAAACCTCCTCTTTAATTCGATCGCACTCCGAAGTGCCCATGGCCCGCGCATGACCACATCACACCCATGAACTGATGGCCCACTCGAACCCTGCCTCTCACGTTCGCACTTCAGTCTCACATGCGGAACGTGCAGTCAACGCGCTACCCAAAGATCAAAGAATGAAGAACGAAGGAATTGTTCTGGCCACGGCGAACCTCGGCCACGAATGTAGATGCCTCCCACACGGGATCGGAGTAGACGGGGCCGAGGATTTCGCAGCATCGCCGATGCATCGCCAATGCATCGGCGACGTCGGCGGTGCATCGGCGACGCCTACGCAAAGAATATCGAGCCCCACATCGAGCCGCATCGGCGACGCATCGGGGATGCGGCTCGATACTCCGACCCCATCTACTCGGACCCGTTCTGAGAGGCCTAGACAACGGATCCCCGACGATAGTGTAAGGAACGGCCCGAAAACCAGCGGCAGAGCCCCTCCTGAGTTCAAATTGGTCCTCATTTCAGCGCCCCGGCTGCACCTTCTCTACCAGGCGGCTTGCCCCTCAAGGCGCCCAAATAAAAGCAGCCAGGCCAGGCTGCCCCGGGGCAGTTCCCGAGACACGGAGACCCAGGGCAGCCGACCCGCACCTCCGACGCCCAAGCCTTCGCCAGAACCCAGATTTCCTCAGCGTTCAACGGGCTGCAACGCAGGGAAAAGATGAGGCTGGGATGATACGGCAGGAGAGGTAGAAAGCAAGGCAGGGAGTGCGTGCGACAGGTATTCGTCATGTTGTTCCTCATCTTCGTGTTCCTCTTCGGTGCCATAGAGTTTGGGCGCAAAGCGCAAGAGCGCTTAGCAAGCAGACTGTTCAAGAGAACTGCACCAACAGGGCGGCCCATGACGGGGTCCTCAAGCGGCAGCCGGGACAGGCGCAGCAGGCGCCGGCGCAGCCGCTCGAGGCGCCGCAGCTCCCCTTCGCGCAGCAGGCACCGCCGCAGGAGCGGTCGCTCCCCGACCCGCCCCAGGCAGCCGGCGAGGTCGCCGTCTGGTCCCCGGAGGGCTGCGGCAGCAGTGGCCGCTGCTGCTTGCTCGCCGAGAGGCCAAGAGAAGGGCTTGCAGCAGTTCCTGGCCAGGACCAAGGGAAGGGCTGCTGCTTGCTCGCCGAGGGCCAAGAAAAGGGCCCCCTGGGATCAGAGGAGCTCCAGAGGAAGACCGTTGAAGCTCTCAGAGGCAGTTGCGTGGCCACGGACTGGCAACTTGAAGTTGCCCCTGGGGAGTTGCTCGTCGAGTTGCTGCCTCCAGCCTCGAGAGGGGCGGAGCTCACGCTGTGCCTCCACGCGCAGCAGGCGGCGGCTAAGACAGCGTTGCCAGGAGCAGACGCCGTGGCGAAGCAGGTGGCGCGCCTCGGGAAGGCCGTGCGCGGACGGGCCGCCGCGAGCCCTCGTCGAGTCCTTCCACTTCCCTGGAGAAAGATTTCGACGCGCACGAGGGTTTGCGCGCGTACGGCCTCGGCGTCAAGAGCGACCACAACTGCAGCTTCAAGGCGCTCCGCGTGCTCGCGGCGTCGGCGCGCAAGGCCGCGCGCCGCAGCAAGCTCCAGGAGTTCGTGGTCCCAGGCGCCCTCGCCAAGTTCACTCCTCAGTGGATGGACGAGCGCTACAAGCCGCAGAGCGCGTCCGACGTGACGCACGCGCAGTGGACGGCCATGTGGTGGGGCAGGGCTCTTGCGCAGCTGACCTGCCAGGCCCACACAAAGAGAGAGGCGGTTACGGTCGAGACACTTCTGGGCGCCTTCCTGGACGCGAACAGGATTGCTGTCGAGGACACCAGGAGAGTGGCGTCGGAGTACGACGCGACGCTCTGGAGCGAGCTCGCGGACCGGACGTGCAGGAAGGATTCCTCGTGCGTCCCGAAGGGCATGCTGTCGCAGGTGGACGAGAACAGGCGCGCCAGAGCTAAGAAGGCACTCCGAGACGCCACTGCCCCTCGGTTGCAGACCGGGTTCAAAGGCGGCGGAAAAGGGAAGCCTCAGCAGTACAAGCCGCACCACCAGCAGCAGTGGGGGCGCCAGCAGGGCAGGCCGCGGACGCCGACCCCGCCACCCCCTCAGGGGAAGGGCAAGGGGAAGACATTCAAATGAGGGCCAGAGGCGACGGGCACATTGGGCACGGATGAGGGCGAGGGGTCATCTGTAGATGCCTGGTCGTCTGAGAGTGGCTCGGTGTGCTCCGACGGCGATCTGGCCGGGCTGGCTGTGGAGCCGGTCGCCCACTTGCGGGAGGCGCTCTCGGCGTTCGCTACGCGGGAGCCGCTGCCATGGGACACGAAGCGCGACTTGTACAAAGGGCAGGAGTCTTGCATCTCGGACATGGCGGCCGACCCGTCGAAGGTTCTTCGATTCTACCTCTGAGATGCTTGCGCGTTGGAAGCAGCGAAAGTCTGCCCAGGCGCCCAATCTTCAGAGGTGGCGCAGCATGCTACAGCCGCACGAGTGGGGCGGTGTCGGGAAAATAGATCCGTTCACTCTTGGCGCCTTGCTTCACGAGTCGCAACATGATGACGACACGTACTTGCATGACTTGCTTCATGCATGGGTTTCCTATTGCAGAAACACTCCACGTGGTAGGCATGGGCATTCCTGTGCCAGGGGGGCTTCGCAGCCGCGGGCGCCCGGGCAACGCTTGGGCACCGCCGCTCTCTGAGTTGAAGAACAATTGCCGCCAATTGAACGCAGACACGTTGGCACGGGCAACAGCCCGGACGCATGCTTCAGCTGCAGACGAGGATGGGATATGCTAAAATCTTTTGACACGGCGCCAGAATCCTGCAGGGTGATAAGGAGGTGGGGGGAATAAGGAGGTGGGGGGAGCTTTCTTCCCGAACCGAAGTTCGATTTCCCACACGATGTAGTGCATGTGTGTCCGCGCCTAGGACTTGGTGCGTGAGATCTGGAGCCAAACACTCAAGGACGTCACAGAGGGTCGCGCAGGGACGCCTGTTCCAGTCACACAGCTGGATCTCTCTGAGGTGCTCCTCGTTGACACGTTCGGCATCTGGGAGCAGCGAGGAGGAGCAGCCGCGCCGAAGGCGAGAACAATCTGGAATTTCCGGAGCAACCTCGTGAATGATTACGCCTGGTTGACAGAGAAGCTTCACTACGATAACTTCCAGCAGGCGTTGGCGGCCCTCCGAGTAGCGTCAGCCAGCTGTCAGCCAGGGTCTTCGCCAGAGTTGGGCAAGACAAATTTTGAATATGCCTTCATAACCTTGCCGCCGCTGGAAGCGCATAGGTGGATGTGCTGGGCGCTAGTCTGCGACCAGGCAACGACCACTTGGATGGCGGTGCCGTGTTGGTCTCACATGTTCGGGAACCTCGGGGGCGTCACAGGGTGGTTCCGCACGGCCAGGGCGGTGCAACACATCATGCTGCGCGTCTTCGGAGTGGCGATTTTCCTGTACGTCGAC